AATGCGCTTACTGTAATTTCGCAATTAAGGTAATTATGTGTGAAAGCCTTTTGCCGAATCAAGGTTTATTTTCGGTTTATTTTCAGAATGCCTCATTTCCACTTTATTAAGGCTTTCTGGCCCACGTGTGATAACGTCCATTGTTGCACAAAGCTTTTGGGGGAGGGAAGCCCCCCCCCCCCATGCTCTGGTTTGCAGCCCCTGGGAAAGTTTTGCAGCATGGACCAAGAGCTCTCCTTTGCAGACTGGCAAGGTATAGCATGCTCTTGCACTGGACAAATTGGTACATTTTATACTGTATCCTGTTCACTTTGCTTTGACCCATTCCTATGCTCTTCAGCCCACAAATAACAGCAAGCAACACCCAAAAATCCTTCCAGAATTGGAATTTGATTTCTGGGTAAGAAACATTTCCTCAGCTGCATCTGCAGTGCAGAAATAATCCAGGTTGACACCCATTTTAACTGCCATGGCTCAATGCTATGGAATTCTGGGATTTGTAGCTTCGTAAAACATTCAGCCTTCTCTGTCAAGAGAGCTCTGGTGTCACAACAAACGATAATTCCCAAAATTCCATATAACTGAGTTAAAGTGGTATCAAACTGGATTATTGTTGCAGTGCGGATGCACTCCTGATCTGTGTTCCTGACTTTACCCTTTATTCAGCTTTACAACACTAATTACAGCACATATTGTTAACATTTCCACTGATATGGCTGTGAAGTGGGCAATTGCTTTAAAAACTGTCCATGCCTGGGTGACAGGAAGCCACATCTTTCAATCTGAAGTACCATACCTTCAACCAACCACATGTGTAGTGGAATGATTCGATTGATTGATTGATTTGATTTCTATCCTGCCTTTCTCCCAAAATGGGGTTCAAAGTGTTTTGAACACTGGTTAGTAAACTGTGTTTACTAACTGGTGTGGGATCAGCACTCCATACATGCCTAGAGATACTCTTCCTTTTACTTTCTTTGAACCTAGGAACCTAGCAATTAGAACATGTCTCATACTAACTTTTGGGAAACCAAGTCCCAGCAACTGTTTCACACAATATGGCAAATTTGCATGCACCATATATGTGGTAAAGTCTTTTCTGCATCAGAAAAGAGAGGAAGAACCAGACATTTTGCTTCGTGAGACAAAGTACAAAATGGAACCCTTTTCCATCCCAACATTTTAAAGGTGAAAAGCAGTACACCTGTGGCCAAGCAAATGTGGTCAAGATGGCACATGCTATTAATGAAGAAATTGTATTTTTTTCTCAGACATTGAGCCTTCTCTGTCAGAGAGCTCTGGTGCCACAATAAATTACAGTTCCCATGATTCCCTAGCACTGTCAGGGCAATTAAAGTGGACTCAATTTGCACAATTTCTAGCAGTCTGTAAAGGCCAAAGACAAAGGTGCAGGTGGGAGAAGAAGAGAGAAACTGAGACATTTTAAAAGTAGTTGGGGAAATAAGACAAAGTAAGATTAATCAGGACTGCCCCTGACAAATCGGACTAGTTGGAAGGGATGCCTTATTATTATTATTACGCTTTAGTTATATAGCGCTGTAGATGAACCCAGCGCTGCACATACAATCAATAAAATAAATAAAAATAGATAAAGATAAGCCTGCCAATGGCGTACATTCTACAAAATAATAAAATAATACATATTAATGCAAAGGAAGCAACAAATTAAATGTATAAAAACTGAACAGATGATGAATCTTAACTTCAGTGATGAGATAGGTCCAAAACACACTGCAGAACACACTCTGGCTCAATGCTAGGGAATTATGGGAACTGTAGTTTTGTGAGACATTGAGCCTTCTCTGTCAGAGAGCTCTGGTGCCACAATAAACTACAATTCCCAGGATTTCCTAGCACTGAGCCAGGGCAGTTAAAGTGGTCTCAAACTGGATTATTTCTGCACTGCAGTGTGTCTTCAACCATAATTTTCTTCCACCATGCTTGAGGGCAACAGCTTGACAGA